GTGATTTGTGTCTGCTTGCCTGTGGTGTCCAAACTTCCCTCTAGTGTCTTGTGAAGGAAAAAGGAGCTATGTAGCAAACCTGGAGGCTCAGGGGGCTACCTGGCAGGACTGACAAGCCCAGTGACCAAAAGTAACCACACAAGATGGTTTGATTATAAATTCCTAACTGGGCAGACCATGGCGGGCAGTCACCATCCAGGCTTACAGCTTCCTTAGTGAAGGTCAGTCTTTTCATCAAGTGAGCCCTGTCCATTGTTATGCATCTAGGATAGCATACCTTTGAAATGTCAGAGTAATTTTCTTTTCTAGACCCCTCAAAGGCATAACCCCCTTCCCCCCAGAACAGAAGACCACAGAACTCCTCATTGTTATCTTGTTCCCCGAATACCATCTTCATATCCTGTAAATGTTAACTATCCTGTACCCACCAATGTAAAAGAAGTGTATCTCCATTTTGTTTTTTATCCAATTCTATAGATTGCTTCACTTTGTTTTCTCCTACCTCCTTCATCTACCACCAATCCAACCTTCCTTACATCTTCTCCTTTGATTCTAATGTATAAAATAAGCTGCAAAACTGCCATTTTTTGGAGCATTTTCTCAATCTGTTGACTTCTTGCTTCTGGACATGTCCTCAAAATTTGGCTCAAGTAAACTTGTATAAAAGTTTTCTATAGGCTGAAGTTCTTTCGTTGACAGTCTCAATGAATCATAAAGTGTTAGTTCTGAGAGAGGTTTTAGAGATTATCTAGCCCAATCCCTTTAATGTATATGTTACACATTAACAGTAGTTAATGGTAGAGCCATTAGAAGGTTTTCTGTTTGTTTCAGTAAAAGGTCACCTTACCACTAAACACTGATGTAAGTTAATTCCCTTGATTGCAAAACCCAGAAAAGAATCTTACCATTGTTGTGCACATCTGTTGAGTACCTCCGTCAAACCTCGTCTTTAATATTTTGCTCCATCTGCAGTACCCCCTTTTGTGGTAGAGGCATGTGGGTGAGCAGGGGTTAGAGAGCAAAGCGATGCATTTCTCTAATGCTGAGAACAGCGACTGCCGTTGCTGGCCTGCCCCCCTGCTTCCTCACCTGGAACCCCCAACATCTCTGCCATGTTCAAGGCCAGCAGCCATCCATTTTGTCTGCCAGGCTCCTTATTGGCCTGACCCACTGGCAGTCAGAGCTAAGCTGATTCTTTCACCTGCTGGCTGCTTATCTAGGACACACAATGTGTAGAGAACAGCCTGCCATGCAGAGAGGAGCCAAGACTTTCCCTCTCTGAGCCCGAGCAGATGAGGCTGGCAGCACTGACATGCTAGGTCTGCCCTAGCACCTCACGCCTTTACTCTCCATTTGGGACAGCAAGCATCTGTGCTCACGGCTACCATGGGGCAATGAGCAGAGAACAGGCGGGGAATGCCTGTAGAAAGCGGAAGTCACTGCTCTTCTTCCCCAGTGGTAAGGAGTGAGCCAGGCTCCTCACATCGCTCACCCTCTTCTGGGACCCTCCAGCCAACTAGGCAGCCCATCTCCCAGGCTCTGCCCTCCACTCTCTCCTTCACTCCTTGTTAGGAACCAAACCCCTGGTTTGGAGAGCATGGTAGGTTCCCATAGCAATGGGCCTTTTAACTGTTTCCATAGCAACCAACACCCAGACCATTTAGTTGCTAGTCAACTGACAGCTGTAAATGAATAGAATTCAGTTTAGAATGTGAGGGATAGGCCAGGGGATTCTCTTCATAGAAAAAGACACAACCACCCCAAATGACTCAACTTGTTGAAAGATTCTTTTAGGCAGCATCTGTGGAGATCTGGCTGGCGCCACTTTCAAACTCAGGTCACACAACGCTGCCAATCCCATTCCCAACACAAACACACACAAACACACACACACATGCACATACCCTCAAAGGAGAATCCAAGGTCTTCAAATGCCCCAAGCTCTATTTCCTGTTCCATTTTCTTCCCCAAGGGCCCTTGGGAAAAACACCTGTTCAGAGTAACTATCATCGTGGTGACATTTCTCACACATAACCCTTTCCTCTGTGTCAATGCTCTTCCTAGGTACTATGACCGTGTCCTTATACCAACCCAGTCATTTAAGCAATATTTGCTTTTGGGATTCTCTGCCATGAATGGCTAATTCCAGATCATCTTTCCTTAGCCTGAACCTCACCTATGTCAAACCACCCTCCCCCACACCTGTGGGTGTTCTCAGAGAACAGACTGTTTTATCAACCTTTGCAAAGCATGACCGAGATCAATTTGTTTCTTTTAGAAAGTCAACTAAGACTTCAAAACCAAATGTAGAGGACTGGAAATTACTCTATGCTTTATTGCTTTTTATTAGCCCAATTTGACTAAATGCCAGGCCTCCCGCCTAACACACTACCAAACTAGGGATGCTAGGTATTATGTTCCCTTTAGTCCGCAAGCGGGGTGCCGCTCGTAGTTTTTGTTTTGTTTTGTTTTTTAACGTATGGAGTCTGGGATTTTTCTACCCTGGAATTCATACAAAAGAGGAGCTGTGTCTAAGCCTTCATGGCTTGCTCAGTGGATTACAAAAGTATGAGACTCGGAAAGAACATGACCCTTTTTATACAGCCTAAGAGCCAGTGCTTGTCAATGTTTTAATGATTCGGGGGCACCTGTGAACCATTTGAACAGAAGATGACCTTTCAAACTAATCCCCTAGTGGGAGCCCTACCTAGTTCACTACTGCAGGCTCCATGCGGCCTCACAGTGGCCGGCGCAGTTATCAGCTGTTGCTTTATCTTTCTGCTCAGATTGAAGGGTGTATACTAGCTGAACTGCTTTTCTTCTGTCACTTAGCATCTGAGGCAAGAGTATGAGACGCAGGGCAGGCAGCTGTTAGCCTCAAAGGAGCTCAATGACATGAGGAGCCTTCTGAGAAGAGGAAGAGAACACACATGAGAAGTGAACTTTTCCGGGCACCTCAAAAAGTTCCATGCACTGAGGGGAGCCTCATTTTTCTGAGGCGACGTACCACACATCAGGTTGAATTTTGATTTTCCTGCTGTTTCTAGATGAGGAACAATGTCTGTCTCCTAAAATAATAGCTAACGTTTACTGAGTCTGTGCTATGTGCCAGGGGTCATTCTAAATCTTTTACGTTATCATCTCATTTAATCCTCATAGCCTTACTGTTATTATCCCTATTTGACAGATAAGGATACTGAAACACGGGAGAGGTTAAGGGATTTAAAAATCGCACTGGTGGTCCTATGAATTGGTGAAGCAACAATCCAACTATCGGCAGTCTGAAGCCAGAGACCACAGCAGTATGACCCCTTTGGAATTCATACAAGTCTGATATACAGAGTCCATCACGGGGAGGCAGAGTGGGCTGTCCTTCCAGACACAACGTGATAGGATACACAAAACGTCTTGGCTAAACAGTACAGTGGTTGAACGGCTCCGGGAATTAACTAGTAAATCTTGGCTGCTGATAACTTTATTCCCGCTCTATGGCTGTCCCCTGGTGGTTTTCCTGGGAAACTCACAAGCCAAAGAAATCCAAATGTGGGATGAAATGAACTGGATCAAATAACTTATTTGCTGTATAAGCAACCCAACAAAAAACATAGCCTTCCAGGGCCCAGGTTACTTGTGAACAGGGTTGTAATCCCTGTGGCAGCTAAGAGCTGATTGACAGTACATTTGACTGAAACAGGAAGCAAAATATATGCCCCATGATTATACTTGTACTTCAAAAGCAGGAAATTCCAAGATTTAATTAACCCAGCCAGTTACTTGCAACATCACATTTCATATTTAAGTTTCTGGGCTTTCCTCACGGCAGAAAGTTCCCAAGACTACTATGCTTCATGCTAACTCGTAACCTCCCTCCCTGGCCCCCTCATCGATTGAGTTCCCTTGACCTTTCAGATGTTGCTATTATTCAACTAGGTGATGTTTGCTTTCACTGCTTATTTCAAGCACAGTTGGTGGTTATAAGATTATATAACATAAAGCAAAACAAGGTCATTTCGTGTAATAGATAGGGAGGGTCTACCTGGGCAAAAAGGGGAGCAAAGGCAGTCTCCAAAAGAGTCCTGTTTTTACTGCACTCTGGGACCATGGGACTGGGTGTCCACCTTCCACGGATCTGGGGGAAATACTCCATCTGAAAGAAGCAGGTGACCACAGCACAAATACAGAATACTACCATCTTTTTATTTATTCAAAGCGACATTTCCAGGTACATAAAGAAGTCACAAGGTAATGTTAGAAAAAAAAAAATCAAACATCTGTTAATCAAGTGTTACACTTAATGAAAACTACGTAAGACAGAAAAGGAGACATGAGATCACCACCCAGAACCAAGTCACCCAGAGTTAAATTTCTGTTGCAAAACAACTCCCCACTCCACCGAAACGTTGGATACCACTGGAGAGCAAGTGGCTGTTGTAGCAGCAGAGCTAGAGGTGCTGTCAAGAGTCAGCAGGCTTGTTGGCCAGATGCACTGAACTCAATGAGGCACTTGGAGATGTGCTGTCCCAGCTAGAGGAATGTGGTTTGGAACCTGTCCTCCACTGCAAGGACTGACAGTCCCAGAGCAAGTTAACCAATATCCCTAAGCGGCCTCATTTGGGTCCTGCCTGACTGGACCCTCCTTATTCCAACAGCAAAAAACACGGAAGACAATTAAATCAATCCCTACAGTTTCTCTCTTTCTTCTTTCCTTCAACCCTTTTACAAAAGATATTATTACAAGGGCAACAGTTCTGAGCTCTCAAGAAACAGGGTCTTAGGTGCAGTTGGAGGTTGAGAGGCATGAAACAGTTGTCTAAAAATTCCCTTCATCTTATGGCACAGATTTAGTTTAGATTAGATTTCTCCTTCCCTCCCTCTCCCCATGCTCTCCGCGTCACCAGATGGACATATTGGCATCAAATAGCTCTAGCTTTCGATCTGTACTGGGATTTCCCAGCAAAAGAGACATTTTTGTTGGTCATCCTGAAGTTCCCACTTCACCACCAGTTTTATCTGGAGAAAGAGAAAAAAGAATTGGGAAAAATGAAACTAGGACCTCACCTCAATCCAGAATTGGTTTAACTACGAATCCTACATGTACACTGTAACAAACTGCCTCATTTTTTATGCTTTTCTTCTTAAATCACACCATTATGAAAGCCGCTGGGGGTGTGTGAGCATAGCCTGTGTCCTTAAATTTTGAAGAGTGAACCAAGTTCTACCAACGATTTGGTGTGAGCACCACATACTAACCTAGTTAACTTATCAAAAATAATTTCTAACGCATGTTTTTTTCCATCTTAGGTCAATGGTACATAAATGAAGGCTTACATGAAAAATAATTCTACATTTAGACAATTTCTCATGGATGTGTGGCAATGTGATCCAGCTTCATCCAACTGCAACCACGAAGAGCAGAGAGTAACAAGTTAGATTCTTAGGTATAGGGAAACTTATTTGTTAGTTGGAAATGGAAATGTCAAAGCACAAAGGATGACTAAAGAAGCTTATGTATGAGTAATTTCAGGAATAACAACGCTTTGTAGTAAGTAGTTTCAGTTAACTGCCTTAAACTGTTTTCTGATAATAGTATTCCTCATTAGGGATCGCTGCCTTGCCTTGTTACACTCATACTATGAGCTGTCCCTTCTAATTCTTTTTTTGTGTGTGTGTGCATTTAAAAAATTTTTATTTAATTGTGTTTTCAGTTATAGTTGACATTCAATATTATTTGATATTAGTTTCAGGTGTACAGCATAGTGGTTAGACATTTATATAATTTATGCAGTGGTCCCCCAGATTAGTCTAGTATCCACCTGGCATTATTCATAGTTGTTGCAACGTCATTGACTATATTCTCTATGCTGTACTTTACATCCCTTCTGATTCTTCATAAATCACTGACACTTTGCCAGTCCTTTCTTATGTGGACATTAGCTTACCTCGTACTAGTTACTACCACTCTTTTGTACTCAGCTGTTTCTTTACAACACAACATTTGAGTGACAGTGATACCCAGCTTCTGGTAACTTGTTTTGTGAGTTTGTGAAGACAAGTACATATTAACTATTTCATGTAGTGCTTAAATTAACATAGTTTAAGCTGCTTTTCACATGAAATGCAATTCACTTAATAATAACCACCATATAGTAAGCGCCTTCTATGTATCAGGCCCTAATTAGACACTCTGTACAAGTAACAGACGCTCCGAAATGCCCATGATTATACAGCTACTCTGCATTAATGTATAAATCTGTCCCTGATCTTTAGGGTCACTGACATCCCTGGAACACAGACTCCCTACATTAGAGACTCTTTAGAATGTTGTTTACTTACTGGCTGCTTCTAGAAAATAAATGGCCGGATTGCTCCTGGGCTCTATTTGATAGCCTTTCAAAAAATAGAACTCTTTTTCTTCATGGAAAAAAATAATCCTTTTACTTCCTTCATTCTCCTCAAGATTCATATCTTTAATACAGGCCCATTCCAGCAGATTCTACCTTACAAATGTTTGGTAGAAAAAGAAGTAGGTATAGCGGGGGCGTCAGAGGTGAAGGTAGGGGTTGGAGGAGGGTGGAGGGAAGGGAGAGTGGAAAAAGCTACCTCTCTGCTATGGAGCTAACACACTCCGTACAGCTCTCTTGTTAACAGACTGATGGAGAAACCAGGATTTTCTGATGACAATGCTCTAACAACTTGAAATCTTGAACTGTTTGATAACTGGCTAAAATCTTTCAACACGGCACAGGTTTTAGAGTCACAAGACCTGGCTCTAAATCTAGGCTGTAATATTTCTTAGCTGAGTGGACTCTGTTCATATTATATAACATTGGGGGCTCAAATTTCTTCATCTGTAAAATAGGGAGAATATCACCCCTACACAGGGTGGTCATGAGAATCCAGTGAAATAGCATATATAAAAATGGCTAACCATTAGACTATAGACAAAGAACAAGGGGACACAATGGAAAGTATCTGCCATACCCCTGGATTCGAAACACTCTAACTTATCTCCTTCCCTCAGGCTTCTGCTGCTTCATCACAGAGATGAAGGACTCCTGCTCCAATCTTATCTTCCTACCTCATTCTTCAGATATCTAATCTAGTCACAAGGGCCATGGTGTCCTTAACAACAATGTCACTTACAGAGGGGTAGTCAGTCTTCACTGGTAGTTTATTCAGGTAGCTGTAGGTCTTATTTTTTTCAATGGGGCAGTTGACTCCACTCTTACAACCATCAGACTCAGGAATGGGAAAAGGAACTGGGACGCCCATCAAGATGCCATATACCAAGGCTTTGCTCCCTTGAGACTGAGTACCTTAGAGAGAGAGAAAAAAACAAGAGAATCAGACAGCGAAGGAAACAGCCTGTTTCCAAACTCTAAATAAACAATTCAGATACCAGATACATTCTCAAGCAACCGGCACTGCTATGATAGCAAATCATAAAGTATGTACCTCCTTTTTTTTTAAAGATTTTACTGAGGAATTGGGGGAGGGGAACAGCCAAGTTGTAGTCCTTCAATCTTAGTTGTGGAGGGCGCAGCTAGCTCAGCTTCAAGTCCAGTCGCCATCCGGCTGCCCGTCGGCAGCTCGCTGCCGCTCAGCTCAAGGTGCCGTGTTCAATTTTAGTTGCGGGTGGGCGTAGCCCACCATGCCATAGGGGAGTCGAACCAGCAACCTTGTTGTTAGGAGCATGTGTTCTCACCAGCTGAGCCAATCCTGCCACCTGTTGGCAGCTCAGCGGCAGCTCAGGTTGGGCACAGCTCACTGGCCCACGTGGGAATTCAACTGGTGACCCTGTTGCTCAGAGCTCGTGATCTTAACCAACTGAGCCACTCGGCCAGCCCCCTAAAGCATGTACCTCCTAATTCCTAGGGTCTATTTCTCTTTGCAGTTATGATTAGGACCTCTGTGGATGCTACAGAGCAAACATTCACTTCAAAACTTGAAAAATCACTGAATTATGCACCAAAAAAAAAAAAAAAAGGAATCAGTGGGGCTTGTTTTCTTTCCTCTTAATCCCACCTTGTTCTTCACTGCCTTTCAGTTTCTCAGGAGAATCAGAGCTACTTGGATAAATCACCTAATCCGACAAAGTAACTGATTTAGGGCAGTAAACTTTCTATTTACTATTTACATCAGCTTCTGTCAAAGTGTATTTTGTATCTTAAAGAGTGTTAGGAGATTGGTCTCTGAATTCTCAAACACTCCTGCCCAAAGGATTCCATTAGAAATTAAGCAGGCCTCTTTTTTTTTTTTTCTTTTTCTTTTAGCTGAGCCATCCTGCCACCTGTTGGCAGCTTAGCAGCAGCTCAGCTCGGGCTGGGCATTGAACCGTTGTTGCTCAGAGCTCAAACTCTTGAGCGAGCTCTTAACCAACTGAGCTACTCGGCCGGCCCTCCTTTAGAAATTAAGAATAAAATGGATGGCAAAGAGGGAATAAGGAATCTACACAAACATGCCATGGACTGTGACAGTACAGAAAGAGGTAACCTTTTAGAAACCAGGTTAAGATTAGAAAGAAGCATATTTCTTGCTAAGCTTTAGCCTCCACATAACAAGATGGACAGAAGGAATAAATATAATAAAATTAGGGCAGAGTTATGAGCTGTTAGGTTATTCTGGAGATCCAGAGTATTGGCTCTGTTCCTTTCTTTCTGTCTGGGTTGGTGATTACTTTTATTTAGAAGGTCCTTTTTTGGTTTGGAAAAATGGAGGGGTCAGGGTATCATCCAGGCACAAAAATAACTCTAGTACTTAGAGCTGTCTTTAGGCTTAAGAACAAGAGATGACAGGAACTTTGAGATTTCTTATTAGACTGTCTAGTCTAGTTCCCTAAGATGGAAAATGAGAGAGGGATTCAAGGCATATGCCCTTTTCAGAAATAAAGACTTTGCATTTGTCTAGATTCTGGGGAATCTGAAGGTGATGAATGTGGTACCAGAAAGCAACAAGTTCTGGTTATATTTCTTCAAGTTGAAGAAAGCTCTCAGACTTCTTGATGGCTTCTTGGTTCCCTAGTGAATTCTCTAAACCTTACAGAGGCTAAGTATTAACTGCTCTTGTATTTTGAGGCAGAACACAGACTTAATAGCTGGAAGGTGCATTGCTTGAAATAACATTTTGGAGAAGTTCCAAAGTCTACAGAACTGGGGTCTGTGCTAATACTCTGCAGTCTGTAGCCAAACAGAGCTGACATTCCCATAAAAGCCTACTGTGCAATGTGGTCCAAAATAGGAGAGAGAGAGAAACCAAGCTGTCTTCTCTCACCTGTAAACACATGGAAATCTCTCTCTTTGCTTAAAGGGAGTCTGGGTTTCAGGATATAGGCATAGGGGAACCCCATTATGAGAAGGGTATCTAAGAGTGTAGTGAAAGCTGGCTTTGCACAAGTTGGAAGGGAGGTCACAGAATTGTTGACTAAAGCCCTCCCTCCCCCATAGTCCTATGTCCATTCTAATACTTGAGATTGATGTCGTGCTTTAAGATGAATTTGAAGTTAAGGGTCACTTTTTACTCACCACTGGTAAAGGTGACATTGACAGTGTAAGACTGTCCTTTCTGCAGATGGCAGGGCTGGGTGGGGCATGGGCTCACATTCACTTCCTTTATAACTCCAACCTCGGAACCTGCAAAAGAAGAAAAATGAATTGGAATAGGAGGAAAAGTAAACCACCAAGGCTGTCCCTACTTAATGGGAAGATGCTCTGCTCTCTCAATTAGGGTGAGTTCCTTCTCCAGGAAACTGTTTATATTTGATGGGTGAAGGGGAATTAAGGAAATGATTAAGTATACATAGCCAGCTCCGCTACTCTACATCCTGGGGGGGCTATACCAGGGGAAATCATCCCCACCCCTCCTTCCACTCCGGCACAGGATTTTAAAGCAGCACACGGATGGCACAAGTTGCAGTGCTACTGTTTCCATTTGGAATCTTGAGACTGGTTGCTCCCAAACTGCCCTCCCCACCATCTTTCAATCCTGTCCTGGTATCTCTCCAAATCAGTGGTCTCAAGCTCTGCATACCCCCACCAGTGAGAACAATTTGAAGCATGCCCCTGCAATATGCACTCCACTTTGGAAACCCATGTTCTTCAAAATAAGCATTTTTGAGGCAGGGTGTGTGTCTTTTTTATTTATTTATTTAAATTTCAGTCTAAACAAGGACAAAAGTGCTATTTGTTCACAATAAATGCTTGATCAAAAAGGTTAAGTACAAATCTCTAAAAATCCCATGATCTCATCCAGGCCCCTGAAACAGGACAGCCGAATAGGAGAGAATGCAAGTGAAGTGCCTCCAACCACTGCCCGTAACAGGGTAAGTGTAAGCTCTTCAATTCAGCCACTTTTGAGAGGTAGACTCTGGAACCCGATGCCTGGATTTGAAATCTCACTGGCTGCATTACTTACTGTGTAACCTCAAGGCAAGATATTTAACCACTCTGGGGATAAATAATAGTACCTACCTCACAGAGTAGGTGAGCTAACACACATATAGCTCTTAGATAAGTGTTTGGAACATAGTAATGCTATACACAGTAGTTCCTCTTATTTGCTTTTGGCGGTTTCAGTTACCTGCAGTCAACTGTGTTCCAAAAAGATTAAATGGAAAATTCCAGAAATAAACAATTCCTAAGTTTTAAATTGTGAGGCGCGTGATGAAATCTTGCACTGTCCCACTCCATCCCGCCTAGGAAATGACTCATCCTTTTGTCCAGCTAGGCACTTAGTAACTCACTGTTCCTGTCCCCGTATTACAGTGCTTGTGTTTAAGTAACCCTAACTTTATTTCATAATGGCCCCAAAGCACAAGAATAGTGATGCTGGCAATTCAGACATGCGAAAAAGAAGCCATAAAGTGGTTCTGTTAAGTGAAAAGGTATGTGCGTATAGGAAAAAACAGTATGTATATATATATATGTGTATGTGTGTGTGTGTGTGTGTGTGTGTGTGTGTCCATATATATATGGCTCAGTACCATCCCTGGTTTCAGGCATCCACTGAACACACCTACCTCAGATAAGGAGGGGAACCACTGTATAAATGTTTACCATTATTGTCATTATATCAGGATTCAGTCCATGAATTTAATCTAGAATAGCTGCTCCTGGGTGGGTTAGCACATCCCCTTTTGACACACAAGGTGGGCCTCTCACCTCGAATACATTTTTTAGGTAGGAATTATGGATCCAGCTGATAGAATGAACTCTTTCTGCCTCAAAAGTAGAACACATGAAGACAGGAAGCAACCTGCAGGTTGGGAGCACATTATCTGCTTCGCAGTCACCAGGTTAGCCCCGTCCTGATATGAACTGAGAAGCTCATGTGGATGCTCTCTGCTTTCTCAGCCTGCGTCTGCTCTTAGGCGGAACAGTTTAATCATAGTGACCAATATGCTCCAGCTAGGTCTGTAAACATCTTGCAGTCCTTTGTCCCCAGCTTGCTTCTCCAACATGGCAAAATTCTAAAACTATACAGACAAGAATTCTCTTCTCTAAGACTTTCTCCCACTCTGTCCTATCTTCTATGGACAGGAAAAAAAAAATCCAGAACTTTAATCAACAACCTATTGAAAATCAGTGCTTGTGCTAAAGCTTTCCATGTCCAGCTTCTATCTGCTTCTTTCAAGGCTGGGTCACATGATTTAGTAGGAACTGATCAAAGGGTAGTACTTGTAGCTCCTTCATCCAGTATTTTGGTTGACAAGAGGTTCTTGGACTTCCAACGTCAGTAAAACAAACTCCTTAGTTCTAATCTGCAAAATTGCAAAACTACGTGTCCCCATTTCTCACTTGAGGAAATGCCACTCCTGGGGAAAGGGGGCGTACAGTGGAACTCAAAAACTTTTGATGTGGGCACTGAAGTTTTTACATTGTATTTCCCAATTCAAAAGTAAATTGAAAATCTGTAACCGAAACTCTCCTTCCTTTAAGAAGTTCTTGCCAGGCCGGCCGAGTGGCGCATTGGTTAAGAGCTGGCTTGGGACGCCAGTTCTGAGCATCAGGGCCCCGGTTCGGATCCCACATATGAGGGCCAGTGACACTGCCTTCTACAGCTAAGATGGTGAACAACAGCTCAATCTGGAACTGGGCTGCCATGAGTCGCGGTGACGGTATAGGCTGCAGCCCCTGCTGCAGTGGGTTGCCATGGGCTACCATGGGCTACCGTGTGTAGCCAGCAGCCCCAGCCGTCCAGAACCCGGCGACCCATCTGCCTTGCCCGGGGAAGAGCGCAATGATGGTGCCAACTTGGGCCAGTGAAGCAACGTCCTCCACAACTAGAAGGAATAACTAAAAAGAAGTTCTTGCCATAGGCAGTACGCCTGCTTTTTTCAAATGAGTAGAACAGAGTCTGGATTTAGTTTCCTTCGGGTTTTTTTTTTAATGTTAATGTTACTGTTTAAACCCAAAGTGGCTCAAAAACACACACTAGTTTCCTACTGCCTACTAGCTATGAGAACTTGGGCAAGGTATTCTATGTGCCTGTTTCCTTATTTGTAAAACAGACTGAGAGGGTTGAATGAGTTAATAAAACTAATATAGTGTTTTCATCCAAATGTTGGCGCACTTGATATAGAGGGGTAAACTTATTCTGGTTCCCATTCTGCTGTGTGACTTTGGATAAGTTACTTAACATCTCTGGAATTCAATGACTGAAAATATGATCTCCAAGTCTTCTTCCAACTTACAAATTTTATAAAATCAGTTTCATGCTTCTTTCATTTATCATTATACCTCTTCACTTCAGAAAAGCATGGTTGGAACAATTCTATAGACCTGACTGAACGAATTCGCAATTTCTACAGCCCACCCCTGTATTTCTCAACAAAGATTCCAACCACAGCGACAAGGGGGGGTTATGTGTCACAAGCTGTGACCAGAAACACGAGTTTTACAGATAGGAGGAATCAAACTCCATAGCCCATGGGAAACGCTAACGGAATAAGTCATGAAAAGGAGAACTGACTTTTGACTTGTCAGCAAAAAGTAAATTAAAAAAGAAAACGAAGTGGGAGGGAGGGGTCATCCAAGATAGACATAAAGAAAAGTTCTGCGCCCCACCTCTCACCACCCGCGCTGCATATCGAGCTTCCGTTGTCGGCCCTACAAACTTCAGGAAACTTCATCAAAAGGCCCATCTCCTGGAATATCCAGGAACCCCAAACACTCGTTCCAAGGAAAGTGACAAAGTTGTGAGCGGTCGAGTTTTCTCGAGGCCGGCACCTTCTGCCCCACCCCAGCCCACTCCACGAAGGGGTCCAAGGCTAAGCCTGGCCGCCCACGGGATCAGCCCAACCTAGCCCCGGGTCTCAGCGCGGTGTTCTGGCGGAGGCTCCCGCAGAAGACCCGGGGACCTCTGGCTCGTCCCGAACTCACCGCAGTCTTTGAAACGCACCGGCTCTGCCAGGGTGGAGGCGTTGAGAGCCAGGAGCAGGAACGCGGTAGCCAAGAAACGCATAGTTGCTAAAGAGCTTCCAAGGGCAAGGAAGAAGGGACCGCCGTAGCCACAGATATATGGGCAGGGAGTTCAGTCAGGCGACCGGGTACCAGCAACCAAAGCAGAAGCCCGCCCCGCGCCCCGCCCTCGCCTCCCGGGAGCCCGGTTCGTCTGTCCGCTTTGCGGCGGGGTGGGGCTATGATACATCTCCACCCCGCCCCTCTCTTCAGCTCTCGGCTTTGTTGGTGCGTCTCCACTTCCGCAATGGGAGCCCTTCTAGCCAACCAAATTCCTTCTCCTCCCGCACCACCCAATAGGCGTGCTCGGAGGCGGGGTCTCTGTGGGTCCTGCCTTTTGAGGCCCCGGCGCAGAAGAGGACTGGAGCGACGCGAGGGGCGGGTCTGTAGAGGAAGATGGCGGCCGCCTGGGGCTCATCCCTAGCGGCCGTGGCGCTGAGAGCGGTCACCCCCTGGCGGAGGAGCAGGTACCAAGTCTAGAAGGGCAGCCCGGGAGAGTGTTAAGTTTTGCGCCTCCAGGACTAAGCAGAAACTAAGGTGTGCGGGGAGGTGAGGGAGTGGCGTGAGGATGTCCAGTTGGAGGTCGTCTGGTTTGGCGTGAGACGGTCCAGGTGGGGGTCGTCAGGTTTGGCTTGAGGCCGTCCAGGTTGGGGGTCGCCAGGTGCCCCTCTGCTCCGGGTTCATCCTCCTCCCTTGCGCGCAGCAGGCTCCTGGCGGCCTCCTCTCGACCTCGGGTGGATCGGGAAGCGTCGTCTTCCAGCCCCCAGGCTGGCGAAGGGCAGATTCACCTCACGGACAGCTGCGTCCAGGTAAGAGCAGCGGCGGTGCCCAGGAGAGGGACGGAAGTGCGGGGACCTCCTCTTGACCTACCCTTTTTTTCCCCCTTGGCCGTCATTCTTGATCCTCTTTCCCTGCATTTCAGAGGCTTCTGGAAATCACCCAAGGGTCAGAATTCCTCAGGCTGGAGGTGGAGGGAGGTGGATGCTCCGGATTCCAATACAGATTTTCACTGGATACAGTTATCAACCCCGACGACAGGCAAGGAAGAGGGGTGGGTCCTCAGAGAATGTATGGGAGCGGTGGGTGAAAGTGTCTCCAGTCTGAGGTGCGCTTTGATTCCAAATGTAAAAGGTTTGCTAAGGATGCTTACCACCGCCCTTCTCACACAGTAGGGATACAGTGAAGATTTGTTGTCTTGATTTAAAATAAGTTCTAGGAGGAAAAGATGTCCATAGGGTAGCTGGTAGAGAGTCAGGCTGGACTAGATTCCAGGCCTGAATCTCTTAAGCATTTCCCAGTATTCATTCCATTGAATCTTTTTGCCTCAAAGTCAGCACCTGTTGGATGGAGGTAATAAGGGTGCTTCCTCTGTATTTCAGAAAACTGAGGCTGTGCACCTCTCACATTAGGTTCAGAGGGTGTCATGTTTTTGGTGTTTATGATATTCATTAATGTTTCCCTCCTGTCTTTTCAGGGTATTTGAACAGGGTGGGGCAAGAGTGGTGGTTGACTCTGATAGCTTAGCCTTCGTCAAAGGAGCCCAGGTGGACTTCATCCAAGAACTGATCCGAAGCTCATTTCAAGTGTTGAACAATCCTCAGGCGGAGACAGGCTGCTCCTGTGGGTCGTCTTTCTCTGTCAAACTTTGATGCGATGACAGGTGACCCAGAGATTGCTACCCTTTGTACCAATTTGAGGAACCTGGAATTAGTAGAATTCTACTGATTTCCTACCAATCATGTTCCTCTCTCAATTTTATTTCCCACAATCCAGGAGTGTTGTGTTTTGCCACTATTGTTTTCAGAATGTGAAGCTTTTACTCTTGACTTAATTTCTCCTGCACAATTTTAAAGCCAAGCTTCTAGATGCTGTTACCTAAGACTTAATAATTAATTGAAGCCCAGTATAATCTGTAGAGCCTCCAAGAGTTCAAAATTTGAAGTTACTTCTCTGGCCTTCAGAGCTGCTTGTACATATGTGTATAGCTACGTATAAAAGCTTCATTTTAAAGAAAGTCCTGATTCAGTTGTGTTTTGGATCAAAGTCAGAGAATAAGTAGCTTGAACACTGGTTACTAGGCTAGAAAAGATGAGAAAGGCAAATGAAGTGTTCTCATTTTCATCTCACCCGTCTTGAGTGTGGTAGTTGAGTTATCCTTATTTTCTATGCAACACATTCTCTACTTCCCATTTGTTAGAGCAGATACATTTTTCTTTCACACTCATGAATTTGCTAGATTCACAAAACTAGAAGCCCATCACTCAGAAAGTGGACTTTACCCTCACTGATAACTGAATCACTTGAAAAATAGCCTCTATACTCCCACAGACATTTCAAGATTCTGTGATCATTTAGTGACTGAATCTTTTTAAGATATGTTGCTTTACTTACCTTATGGTGTAAGATGTCTCTGGCCTCAGGTATAGCACAACCGGTCCCTTTGTTGGTGTAAATAACTTAGAGATTTTAGGTTGGATTACCAGATAAAGTGAAGGATGTCCAGTTAAATTTGAATTGTAGATGAGTAACAAATAATTTTTAATATGTGTCCCAAATACTGCATGAAACATACTAAAAATTATTTGTTGTTTATCTGAAATTCAAATTTAACTGGGCATCCTGTGTATTTATTTGTTGAATGTGGAAAGTTTACTGTAGGGTCAGTGAAAGAAAAGTGTTTTAAGTCACAAATTCCAATGAATTCTGAAGTACTTTTTTGGGTATGGCACTTAAATAGGCTACAGAGCTAGAAATAGTTGTGGTATGTGTATGACAGTGCTGGGAAGCCAGAACTGCATGGACAGACAACTAAAAGACAAAAATACCATCACCATGATGAATGATTTATACATGCTAATGTTGGGGAAACCACAGCAAAGTTGATTCTGGAAGAATTATTGGTTAAAACTGCCTTTTCTTCGAGAGCCTAAAACTTTCACTACAGCAAAAACTTGCATTTCTGGACTGGATTGGAACATTTCTACACTGGATTAGAATTAAGGTTGTTCAATAAAAGACTTTACCATGAAAAAAATGGAAATATAGAATTTCGAAACAGAAAGTATATGAGAGAGAAACTTACATGTTCAACATGGGAAAACCTATGACTTAGAGAAAACAAACCTGTACTGTGTATACAGTGTGTACAAAGAGGAAAGAAGGGGACACCCAGAAACCTGAGCAGATTTCTTAGTGGATTTCCATGGAAGAAGGCAGAAAGCAGTATACCATGGACGCACCTGTGTGTAGCTTTACTAAGACGTTGCAAATTGCTGCCAGTACCTGGCCTAATAAGACTTTCGGCTCAGATGACGTTCTTTCACCCTCTTCAAAAAGATTTTGCTACATTTTAAGTGTTACAAATATTCATCCAGGATATTTTTGTGGGGTATTGATTGATTTGGTGATTTAAAAACTAATAGCGTAAGCATAATAGCTTTAGTTGCTAAATAAACCATGAAATTGCAGTGGTCAATAAGGTAGGGAACAGGGGCCCTTAGAATACCTTAGAATATGTAAGTACCTACAATCAGTGAGGAAATTGGAGTTCTGTGTTTAGAAAGGGTGGATTTGGGAGAAATCACCTCATTTCACACAGAAAGCTTCATGGGGGAAACCTGAAGTAACAGAAGTCTCCACTGGAGGGGACTTAATGTAGAAATTTTAAGATCACAGGGCATGGGGAAATGGTAGTGTCAAGATGATAGTGTGCAGTTTGCTTGGAATAAACAGTAAGCCATGTAAAACAGGTTTAGGATCTTTTGCAGGCAGGCACTTTGTGACCAGATGCCTTCTTCCTGGCATGCCGTAAAAGCCAGCAGATGTTTTCACAAATTTTTCTCACTGTGCAAATTCATTTAGGAAAACCTTATGCTCTTCCAGTATCAATTGGAAGATTTCTTTTTGTCTCCTTTCATGGGGAGGTTATCAAGGCCTTACTTGTTGCAGAATTGATTTTATTTAACTATATATGCAAGCTGGTGAGTGCCTGGGGGCAGCATGCCCGACCTTTGCTTTAGCAGAACTAATAGTGCAAGCACCAAAGGCAGGGGGATCCCTGGGTCTGCTTTATGTTGTGAAGAACTTTGTTGTTGGCTCTAAATTGAGGGCCTCTTGGTCAACGTCCAGATCTTACCTTGTTGTGGAATCACCCTCTTCAATTATGTGATTGATAGTGACTAGTGATATATAAACTATAGGTGTCCCACCCACCCTTAGTTTCTTTCTGTGGGAATGTTGATTGATTACACAGGATTAGGGGAAAACAAGTTCAAAAGAGATTAGGAAGGATGTCTAAAGTAAATGTCCAAGAATATACTCTTTCTGTAACTTTCTTTTGAGAATTGAGCCCTATTTTTTTGGCCTTTTGTTACAAAGCGTTGAGTGGAAGGTTACCATTTGGCAGGAGCTTCCTGTATAGAGCAGCGGGCAGCACTGATCGGCATGGAGTAGCCCTCCCTTAAACTCTGGCCCTGAGCGGATGTCCTGCAGCTTGCACTGGGCAGGCCCTAACACTGTCCACTGCAACATTATTCCGGTTTTGTGTGTTTGTCTCAAAGGCAAGAAACTCCTCTGCTTTTCTAGGTATCTTGCATTGATGTTTATGATTACTCTTAAAATCCCTGTTTGCCATTTCTCCACAGAAATGCCACAGGGCTGCTTAAAGGAAGTTGGCTTTAAGAAGTTTTGAAATAATTATCATCTGACTTTAATTGTAAAATAAGGTCAGGTAAATATATAAAGAGAGGGGACATTTAAGTAGTCTGTGGCCAGCAGCTGTATTTAAAAATATTTTATTTGTTTTTGAATAGGTAATACATATGGTACAAAATTCAAAGAGACACACAAGGGGATACAATGAAACGTCTCCCAGTCCTGTACCCATCCACCCTGTCACCCTCCCCACAAACCACTATTGTTTCTAAGAATTTAACCCACAGGTATAACCCCACAGGTAAAATGTGAAATAACATGTGCACAAGAATATTCATTACAGCATTATTTTTAATAGCAAAAGATAGGAAACAGTGGAAATGTCCATCACTAGGAGACTGACTAAATAAATTATGATTTATCCATTCAATGGAATAATATGCATTTGTAAAATAGAACTAGACAACTCTTAGGTGCAAGTATGTATACGTGAAAAAGCAAAGTGTAGAACAGCATGCAGAATAGGCTATTTGTGTTTTTAATACAAGGAAATATTCATGTGTAGATGCATGAAATATCCCCGGAAGGGCAAGCAGGAAGGTGAGGGTTGGGAGGAGGGACAATGGGAATGGCATTTAAGAAGGCGCAGTACCAGCAGGGTATACTGAGAATGGTAAGGAGTTCTGTGAAGCAGTGTGAGGTGGAGTGCCAAGGTTGAGGTTAGCAGATACTCAATTCTCTTTCCCCTTTCTTTAGACAAATAGCAGCATACGTTACACTTTGTTATACAACCCTCCTTTTCTCCTTAATCTATTTTGGATATCTTATCAAGGCATTTAGAGCCACTTTTTAGGGCTCCATAACAATTGTTTGTAATCTTGCTATTACAAATAATGCTATAATAAATAACCTCTTACATATATCATTTCACATTCGGTTAGAATATAGCAGAAGGTTAAATTCCTAGAAGTGGAATTACTGATTCAAAGAATAAGTGCTTTTATAATTTTGAAAGACATTGCCTTATTCTCTTCAGAAGTCGTATCAGTTTGTGCTCTTTCTCCAGATGATTGCCAGCCAGGAGTCTTAACAAACTCCTTGATCTTTGCCAATCTGGCAAAGTGTCTGGGTGTGGTTTTAACTTGCATTTCTTTTATTATGAATTAAGGTCAGAATACTTTCATACATTTAAGAACTATATATTTTTATCTGCTGAAAACATCTCAACTGGTATAGTGACCTAGAGCAAATTATTTAAGCTTCATGTGTCTTTATTTCCTCAGTTGTAAGTTGGGAATAAAAATAGTAAGTAGGATTGTTGGATGATTAAATGAAATTTGTGTATAGCATTCAACACTGCCTACCTAGCATGTAGCAAGCATTCAATAAGTTATTATATGATGGCTGACAATCAGAGCAGCAGGTAGGACAGGACAGATTAAATTAAGAAAATAGTATCATCTCCATGTCTACAGGCACACAGAGCCTTGTTCACTTACATTGTTATTGATCAGAGCTATACAAAGTCGGAGTTTTCCGTGTCTTAGAGTAAAGGAACTTTTCCCATTGGAACCCAATCATAGACGATTGGCAGAGCTGGCAAGGGGTAGGCGTAGCCTCATTTCTAATATTCAGACTTTGCCAACGTGGTAAAGAAATCTGGTTTAATATGAAACAAAAACGGGAGAGACCAGGTGTATATTTCTTTATTCCACTGAGGTTCTAAACTCCCAGTTCACCAAGGTTGGAGTGGGGCTTGACTTGTAAACTCAGAGGAGTGCCAGCCGGCCGTTTTATGAAGGGGAAGAGGGCAGAGGCTTCTGAGTAGAGAGGAGAAACAACAAAGGAAATCTGGCTTCCCCCAAAACATGACTGCACTGTATTTCACAAGCTAGAAAACAGATCTCTCTATTTTTAGCACATCAAACTGGTGTCCACAAAAGGAGAACCCAGGAGAGATTTGCTTCCTGTGAGGAGCAGTATGCAGTGACTACAGGTCTTTGGAGATAGGCACCCTGTCTTGTGGCAGAGGCCTCGTGTATCAGGTGCTGTCGCTGGGTTGATTTTGAACGTTTATCTACTGGAAGCTACTGAATGTTTTCTTGAGACTTGTGTAAAGCCCTGGCTCCCTGTCTTATCCGTTCCCCGTATTGTTAATGTCGCTCTCTCGGGCTCCTTGTTCCCCTTCGTGCCTCTTACACTCAGCAAGCTCGGATCAGTCTTGCTTCTCTGAGATGAGGGTATCTCCTGCCCCTCCCTGGGGCCACAGAAGTGAGTATAGGATGGAGTTGTGGCAAAACCTGGTCCAGACCAGATTGAGCAGCGGTGATCGTTCTTGGGGGAGGAGGCGTTGGAGTCACTCCCCAAACTTCCTCCAATCTTTTTTTTGCTTCATGGATTCTGAAGGACCACTCCAGGACAGGTGTAGCCTCTGACTCAGTTTTGGGATCATCAGGATGATCATCATGGCTGGAAAAGGGTGTCTGCAGCATGAGGCTGAAGGACCTTGCATGTTTGCACAGGTTGAGGGGGTGGAGGGCCATCCTTTGGTAAGCATCCCATAGCAAGGCCAGGCCAGATGGCGGACTGGGCCTCATGGCCGTGGCTGAAGCGTTAAAGCATTTGGTGGTGTTTGAGCCAAGCAAGGGCATGGTGGCATGGAGGCAGTGACAAGCTCACAGCCAGAACCTAAGCTGGGACGGATGAAAAAAGGCAGGGCTGGCTGGGTGTGGGGCTGCAGGGCCTCCTGCCTGATGTCTTCCCAGCGAGGAAAAGCGTCCTCAAGGCCCCTGCCTGAGGCCAATTTCCAGGTAGCTGCCCACACTGACCCCTCACTGCTACTCCTTGGCGGTGCAGCGCGGGGGGCCTGCCTCAGCCACGTAACCTGGGGAGCAGTGGCAGTGGTAGGAACCCTCGGTGTTCTCGCAGTGACCGTGGGCGCAGAGTGCAGCCGGCCCGTTCAAGTCATCACACTCATTCACATCTGAGAGGAAGGAAAAGAGCTGGCAGGAGCTGAAGGGCCTCTGGCCTGCTGGCTCTGGCCCTCTGCTCACTAAGCCCTGGCCCCTCCCTGCGTGGAATCCTAGGTATGGCAGCCAGAGGCTGAAGTCACTGTCCCAAACTAAGCAACTCGGACACAAAGCAGGTGGTCGTGAGCCCATACTGTGCCCAGGAGAGTGACCATGCTCCTTTGTCCCTGGCTTTTTTTTTCTGTCAGGGCACCTCCATGGTAAGGGCTTTCTAAACACAGCATAAGACCTTCCTTTGGAGCTTTCTCACCATGGACCTGGCGCCCGCAGTCCCACTAGGGGGCAGTAGTGGATTTCCCAGCTACCCTGTTTAGACATGCATTCCTGACGTGAGCAGCGGCCCGTCTGACTTCCACAGGGAGCCATCAGGGCCGGTCTGCTTCCCGGGCATTGCCACTGTGGTGCTAAACTTACCCACACAGGCCATCTGGGCCATGTCCAGCTGGAAGCCCTCAAAGCAGTCACAGGTGTAGCCCTCCTGCACGCGCACACAGCGGCCGTTCTCACAGCCATTCAGGATGCCACACTCCTCGGCCTGAAGCCCTTCGAAGCCAGCCTCGTGCTCTGGTAGAATCAAGTCAGAGAAGGAAGCTGAGGCCTTGTGCCCAACCCCTGGGCTCTCACCCTCTGTTGAATTCCTGGGGTGGGGGTGGGGAGGGTCGTAAAAGTCTCACAGAAAGATGCTAAAACACAAGGCAGTATTTTTTTTAAAGTATGTGTCATTTTGGGTGGGTGAGACCTTTAAATGAGGCCTCCCAAGAAGGTTGGGATTCACTGCTTTCACTGCCAGGGCTCCTCAGCAGTTGAGTGTCTATACAGTTTTGGTTTTATTGTGGTTGGTGGGAGTGTTTTCTTAAAATTATATATATATATATATATATACACACACACACATATACACAGATACATATATACACATACATATACATATATATATATACATATGTATATGTGTGTGTGTGTGTGTGTGTGTGTGTGTGTATATAGTTTTTTTGGTTTTAGCTGGGAGGGGATTGGCAGCAAAGGTGGATTGCCGTCACTCAATGCAAAGCGCAACTACCAGATCTGCCGCACCCTCTTCTCTCTAAGCAGCTCTCCACCACTGGAAAGGGCCCCATCCCTAACCTCAGTGCAGGCTTAATCAGTCTGATAAGGCGGCTGTGCCTGTGGCAGGTACCGAGTCTATTGCACAAAAGCCAGGCTTGACTTCCTCATTAGCATCCAAGTCCTGAGAGCTGAAGTCATTGCCACTTACAAACCAAGTCGCCACAGTGGGCCTTCACAGCAATTAGAAAGCCTTAATTCACATTTCAGGTCACAAGTTTGAACTTGCAGAGCAGGTTATTCTGCATACCCTAGGTGGTGTGGAGGGAGAAAAACGGACAGTACCAGAGTGTGCCGGCTTTCTCTCCCTCGACTCCCTCCCACAGGGAAGCTTTTGCGGTTGGGACGATGGTGTCCTCTACCTCTTTGTGCCCCCTGTGCTAGTTCATCAGAGGGCCTTGTTAGGGTATCACCTGGGCGTTTGGAGTTGTCCCTTGAGTGACCTGCGAGAGGGCTTGCTGTGTCTCTCCCCTTCCCTGTCCTCGCTGGCAGCTATTAGCAGGTGGAGGAGGTGGGAGTGAAACAACTTCAGTGCCCCACCTCTTCCCCATTTGTGCAGCAACACAGACCTGGATGGCTGGCCACGTAGTAGGGCTGGAGTTCTGAGGGCTGTAGGGGAGACTCAGGGACTGGTGCACGGCCCGCCGGGTGGCTGGCTGTATTGTGGAAGGGCGGCTCAGGGACGGCATCCTCGGGGCCCAGGTAGTTGTAGAAGGGGGCCCCGTCTGGGCCATAGAGGCTGTAGTGCAGGTCGTCGGGGCCCGGGCCATACTCATAGCCTGGTCGGAAGTGGACCCCGGCCTCCCGCTCCGCTTCAATCCGGGCCACATTGCACAGCTGGGCGTAAACCTCTGTCAGGGAGGAGGGAGAGAGGAAGCTGAGCCCATAGCCTGGTGTGTTTTCCCCCTGGCTCACTGCCCCAAGGAGAGATGGCGCCCACTGGGACCCGTCCCCTCTGAGTTCCTGGCAGTGCTCCTCTCCCCACCCCATCGCCTGCCCCACTTTATCCCCAAACAATAGGGACAGAAGAGGGCCACTATGATTGCCCCACTCCTGTCTAAATCCTCCTTCCAAGGGGAGGGCATTCCCTACCCTGGGGCGCAGCCCAGCTCTGCAGGTGTCTCCCCTCCCTGCTGGCACGCACAGGCCACCCCTCTCACCAGAGTTCCTGGGGGGGCACAGAGCACACTGCTGGCTCCAGGCCTCGCCGTCCTGGCAGCAGCATTCGGTGTAGGTGGTGCGGCGCCCATGCAGGGGTTGGCTGCACACGTAATTGGTGACCTTTTTCCAGCAGATGTCCATGTGGATGTCGTGGTCAGGTAGGTCCTCTAGTGGCACAGGCACAGAGGCACATGAGCCCCGCCCCCCGACCCAGGTCCACTCGCCCTGCTGCCCTGCTACCCCAGGCCCACTGACCCATGTTGCCGGTGCTGTTTACGCAGCGCTGATGACTGAGGTCCAGGGTGAGGGGTGGGCTGCAGAAGCAATGGAAAGAGCCTTCTGTGTTCACACACTCGCCATTCTCACAGGCCATGTCCTGGCACTCGTCGTGATCTGTGGTGGCAGGAAGATGGGAGGAACGTGTGGGGCAGTGCCAAGGTGGCTTGTCCGTGCACCACCTTCATGGAGAGGGGTTTCCTTGTACTCGGCAATGAAGAGGTAGCATCTCTTCCCTGTTTCCTCTCCCTTGCCCCAGCCCAGCCTGCAAGGCCCCTTCCACAGGGATACTTTTCCAACAGGTCCCCACATACAGTCCCTGACAGCCCCACAGCTCCCCCCACCTCAGCCCAGCCCGCTGCAGTTGGCAGCTGCCCCCAGAAGGGGAACTCCCCAAAAGAACCAGGCTGGCTGGCAGGGCTGGGTGAGCGTTCAGCTGTGGGCCCAGGGGTGGGGAGGGGTAGCGTGTGCCCTCACCCTCACACTTCCTGCGGGTGGCATCATAGTGGTAGCCAGGATTGCACAGGCAGATGTAGCCAGGCACTGTGTTGAGGCACCGGCCATTCTGGCAGAGACCAGGCCCGAACATCACACACTCGTCAGCATCTGTGGGGAGGCAGAGTTGAGGTGAGGGGAAGGTGAGAAGCAGTAGAAGGCGGTGCTTGAGACTAAGGGCTCCGAAGCCAGGCTTGCTGGTTTGAATCCTGGCCCTGCCACGTGCTAGTTGGGTGACTTCGGGCAACTTCCTTAAGTTCTTGCCTCAGTTTCTACCTAAAAAATGTAGACATGACTACTTAACCTCTTACAGTGTTATGAATATTAAACAGTTAATACATATAAGGTACTTAAAATAGTGCGTGGCACATAGCAAGCACTTGAGGAAAGCTACTTCATTTTCTATTATTTCCTTCTCCACCTTCAGGATTAGGGCACTGAAGGGCTCACACCTAAACTACCCACTTTGAGTATGGGTTCCCCAAAGTTTCTGGCTTGGCAAGTGGGGCCAGGGAGATAAGCAGCTGCCTCTGGCATCTGTACAGCTGCACTGCCTGCTTCCCTGTGCCCTGTAGCTGGGTTAGTCAAGGCATCATAATATGTTTCTGGAGGGTTCAGCCTTGGGGGAGCAGAAAAACCAAGGTGGGGCTGTATGGACATTCCCAGAGGAGTTCCGGTCAGAACTTCCAGCTAAAACTCTGCAGGTCGTCAGCCCTGGGACAGAAATGATGGAAGTGACCCAGGAGGCCGGGGCTGCATGCAGAGCTTCCCTGGGGACCTCCAGGAGGACCAGGCTGGGCCAGCTCAGGAAAGTAGAGTTTGGGGACCAGGGTCTGTAGGGGGGTTACCTGTATACGAGGTTTGTCCAAACATCCAGGCTCCTTCCACAGGGATGTAGCCTTTTCCACTGGGGCAGATCTCACTGAATTCGACTGTAGGGAGGCAACCAAGCTTAGAGAGAGCAGGGCTCTGCCCCCTTTCTCCCAGTATCACCCTGCAAAGCTGATGCTGAGAGGATTTGGGACCGTCAGGCGCCTTACCTGAGTCCTCTGCTGGGCAGAGGTCACAGGCCTCTCCCCAGCTGGCACCCTGGGTGCAGCAGCATTCAGCCTTCGTGGTATTCCGGCCCAGGGGGCTGGAGCAGGGCGGCTGGCCCTTGTTCCCAGAGTAGCATTCCATGCGGATGGGGCCTGAGAGGTGGTCTCTTGGGGGCGCCTCAGGCATACTCTGACCTGTGTGTGACAGATGCCCCTTATTATTGTCTGTTCATGGCCCTCTGGGACACCCTAGCCTTTACAAATTTAACATTTATATCTTTTTACAGTGTACAAAATGCTTTTATCTATATTATCTCACTTGATGTTCTCAACAACTCTATGAGGTGGGCATTATTATAATCAGCTCCCTTTACAGACAAGGCAGTTGAGACTTAGAGAAGCGAGGTGCCTTACCACAGCCGCCAGCGATTAAGTGGCATAGTAGGGAGTTGACCCCAGTTTCTCAAATGCCAAGGCCCCTGCTCTTTCCAGTATACCACCCTTCCTCTACTACAGTGGGTTGCCCCCAGTCCCTGGCATGCCCTATGGGCAGCCCTCTGCCCATTCCTCTGCTTTATACTGTATCCCAGCCCCACACCCTTCCTTGTTCTAGGTCCTGCTTTCTTTTCCCCCAAGTCAAAGAAAGCCAGCTGAGCCCTAGTTCAGCCTGGGGTGAGAGGCTGAACCCAGCAGCTCCGGGGTGGAGTGAGAAGAGGAGAGTCTAGCTTAGCTCAGCTTCCAGGCCTTCCTCACCCGGAGGGCTTCCTGGGTTGGATTGAGGATCCCTCCCACATCCCTGGGACTGGTGCCCTAAGCTGGCCTCAGAGTTTCCGGAGCCTCCTGTAGTGTCCGCACAGCCCTGCAGCCTCCTGGATGTTTCCTGCCCTGGAGCAGAACCCCCTCTTGTCTTGACATTTGCTGCACTCTCAGCCTACCGCACTCCCTTCCTAAGCTGCACCCCTGTCCACAATGTCCCCGTCTCGGCCCAGGCTCCCTCTCAGGAGCTGGAGCAGTGGAAGAGTAAGCCATACAGTGGTCGTGCATAATGGCTGGATAGAGTATGTGGCATGCTCACCTCCAGCCACCCGCGGGCGGCAGTGCCCCTCCTGAGTGTCGTACTCCTCCAGGTCGCTGGCGCAGAGGCACAGGAAGGAGCCCTCCACATTTTCACAGAGTGCCGTCCCACACACCGCCAGCATGAGCTCACACTCGTTCACGTCTGCCAGGCATAAGGACAGGCTCAAGGGGGGGAAGAGGCAGCCCAGGCCCCTTGCCCCTGCCTCCAGCCCAGTAGGCCGGTATTCGTCCTCCCAAAAGAAAGCGGCTAGGTCTTAGGGAAAGAGCAGAAGTGGGTACCAGTTAGCAGGAAGGAGGAACCGATGAACAGAGGGCATGGGAAGGGAGAGAGAAGGAGAAGGGTGAAAGAGAAGGGTCACTAAATGGACACAGAGGAAGGATTCCTCCCTCTGCACATTCTGCAAATGTGCCTTTTGACACCCTGAGGTCTCTGGAGAAGGGTGGAGCCTTTATTGATGTGCTCCCCCTGCTAGTCGGATGTGGCCACGCTTCCCTTACCAACCTGGCCAAGGGCCAGCTGTCGCGTGGAGCCGAAATCTCCCTGGCCCACTCTGCAAGGACCCATTACAGAGCCATGAGAGCATGACCATGTCAGGAGGAGGGCCCTAGGGCTTCTATCCAAGACAGCCCAAATCTGTGGAGATGGGATAAGGGGCCCAAGGGCCTTCCTTCCCTTCCCTGGCCCAGGCCCGGCTAGCCCACAGGCTTCTCACCCACGCAGTCCCAGCCGGACGACGAGGTCTCAAAGCCCTGGTCACAGAGGCAGCGGAAGGAGCCCTCGGTGTTGTCGCAGAAGCCGTGGCTCCCACACACGGTGTCGTTGGCACACTCGTCTATGTCTGTGGGACAGTGGAGACAGAAGTGTAGGGTGTGCTCTCCTTATTTGCTGGAGATACTTATTTATTTGGTCTATTAACACTAAGATCTGTGAAAAGTAACTACGAAACACAGAACAAGAAAACTGTAACATTAACATTCTTCTTCAATTTTTGTGTAAGCCCTGCTGTATGGAAAGTATACAAACTTCAAACAGATGCAAAAATAGTGTCCTTAGGAGAAAATAGTTTCTAGCTGGATACGCGAGAAGTAGGTTTCCTCAGCCCTCCCTACTCACCAATGCAGTCTCCAGTCGGGGCCACGTGGAAGCCGGGCTGGCAGCCCAGAACGCAGCGGTAGGAGCCAGGGCTGTTCTCACATCTCCAGGCCCCACACACGGGGTCTCCGTAGTCCTCACACTCGTCAATATCTGTCCCCAGAGCCATGAGAAGGGACAGAAGAGGCCAGGTCACTGCTCTGGCCCCACTTCCCTGGCATTACAAGTTCATGCCCACAACCTCTGGGGTCCTTGATCTATTCCGTATTATTGTAATCATCTCAACCCCAAAACATCAAGCTCAGGGTCATTTCCCCTGACCCAGCAGGGTTGAACGTCTAAAAGAGAGTCCTATGCTATTTAGGAAAGCACTGAGTTCTTAGCCTTCTGTGACATTCTGTTCCTCCACACTCTTCTCCCTACATTGGAGCACTTTATACGCCTCTCTATATAAATAAAACCTTCACCAAAATGTATTACAGAAAGTTGTCTTCATAGCTGTCTCCCTTGCTCAATTTCAAGATTGCCCATAACTGTCTATCTGTCCTAGCAAAAAGACATTGAGCCTAGCAGGTTTTTAATAAATGCCTATTGAATAGGCATTAATAAATGCCTATCAAATCAGTTTGGCTTTAAAAACTAGATTGTGTGCTTTGCTAGCACAAAGATGATGATTGTCTTCATTTTGTCATCCTCGCACAGTCCCTTAGTCAGCAGAGGCTCAATAAATGCATTATCCACTGGATGATTAATCTGTGGAAAGTGCTCTGCTTCCCGGAAGCTACAGTTCTTGGTCCCAGGTGGCCGAAGACCAGGCACGGGTGAAGGTGGTCAGAAAATGGGCAGAGCCCTGTCCTCTCCCCGTCCCCGCCCCTCCCCTCCTTACCCACACACTCCCCACTCTCTGGGGAGGGCTGGAAGCCAGTTTCACACAGACAGTTGAAGGAGCCCTCAGTGTTGACACAGCGCCCTCCGGAACACCGGTCTGTAGCTGCACACTCGTCCACATCTAGAACAGAGATGTCTGTCAGCAGACCCAGCCATGGGTCCCTAGGGCCCTGGGCAGCTTCCTCTGGGCCCTCAGTAACCCCCGGGAGGGCCAGGAAGTGGTTCAGGGTACGAAAGGGCTGGAAGACCTGAGGAAGAGCTCAGCGCTGGAAGCCTGAAGCCAGGCTGGGGGAAGAGCCCTGGAACTAGGGCTCTGTCAAGGGAAGAAGGGTGACACTCAAGTGCCTGCTGTAGATATCACAGAGAGGCCCTGGTGAAAGGGCCTCTCCCTGACACTTGGCTCCCTCTCATCACTGTCAGCCTCCCATCTTCCCAACCTTGGGTGGGACCAGGAGAATTTTATTTCAATACTCTAGGCATAGCCTTTAGTACTCCCTGCTGCTGGCTAGTGGACATGCCAAGCTGGCTTCTCACCCAGGCAGCTGGTGCCTCCCTCTGCACTGGCAAAGCCTGGTGCACAGAGACAGAAGAAGGACCCCTGGCTGTTGAGGCACTCGCCGTGGGGTGCGCAGTACTCCTCTCCTACACACTCGTCCACATCTGCCGAGAGAAGATAGGCAGTGGTGTCACCTGGGGATGGTCTCACCTCCCCACACACTCCCTGCCTCCAGTCCCCGGTGGGGAGACCTGAGCCACTCACCCTCACACATGGTGCCATTGGCCAGTTGGAAGCCCCGGGGACAGAGGCACTGGTAGGAGCCAGCCATGTTTCTGCACTCGCCTCCCAGGCAGCTGCTCTGGAGGTCTTCACACTCATCCACATCTGCAGAGTCACACAGGAGGAAGGAAGCTAATGGCAGCACCTCCCGAGGACAGGCCGATGGGGAGGTCTCCAGAGGGCCTGCTGCCTGCCTGAGGAGTCTGGCCCTGTAGGCGTATTATCCCCTTATAAAGCAGCATAGCTCGGAGGAGCTGGTGAGGGAGCCTTTGGGGAGCAGGATGACTGCAGCTGCCTCCACGTTTGCCCCAGCCCAGCAGGCCTCCCTGCCTCTGGCTGAGTTTCTCCAGCTTCCCACACAATGTCCACCTTGGGGACACTCAGGCTCTCCCAGCAACCCTGGCCTAGGGTGGCCGAACCTCACTGCCCTTCTGGCTGAGATGGCTTAGATTTTACTGAGAAGCAATAGGAAAACAGATGAGAACTAAACCAAGGAAACAGATACAGGGAAACTGAGAAGGTAACAGAAACCCAGTTTTTCAAGTTGACCTACAGATTGCCTGGTAGAAGCCCGTGTTTTTAAAAATACAGTCCAGCACCCACCCTTATGAGGAGCCCCTGGGGAACTTGTTAGAAAGCAGATCCTGCCCGCCCCTGCCCCCGAGGGAAGTTAATGCAGCAGGTCTAGGACAGGCCCAGGGCACTGCCTGGAGGACAAACTGCCCCAGTGATGCTGGTGCACCCTGAAGCCTGTGCTCCAGGGGCTCAGTGGCCCCTACACCCAGATCTGCAGTCGCCTTTCCAACTCCTGTTGGGAGAGGGGTGAGAATAAGTGGCCCCAGCTAGCCACTATCCAAGATGAACAGAGGGTCCCCTGGTCTGGAAACAGCCCCTGCCGTGTCCTTAGAGGGTCTCTAAGGGTGATGGGTTAGTCTCCCACATCCCATCTGTGCTCTCCTCACCTGTGGGGGCTCTCACCTTCACAGGTATTGCCCAGGGGGCTGGGCCGGTAGCCCTGGCCGCAGTCCCTGCAGGAGAAGGAGCCAGCAGTATTGGTGCAGACTCCTGAGGGGCAGACTCCCGGAAAGGCACACTCGTCTAGGTCTGGGGCAGACAGCAGTTAGTCACCCCCGGGGCCTGGGAGCGCTCCCTCCACCCAGCGAGGCAGGAACCTCCCCGTACCTCTGGCCTCCCTCTCTGAGCTTATAGAACTCTCTCCAGGCCCCTGGAAAAGAGCAGGCTCTGGCTGTGGACCTCCTCTAGGCCAACCCCGGCACCTTCTCCCGAGATTGCTCGTGGGCAACTCTACTGTCAGCTTTGCTCTTGTCTCTGTGACTCCCTTTTCACATCTAAACTTTGGGACTAGGACAACAGAAGCTCTCCTTGGGGCCAAGTCCATGTATAGGGTCCTCTAGCCTAGCCTGGAGACCCTCAGCATCAGTCCAAAGCTAGGGGACAAATGGAGCATTCTTGGATGGTAAGAGGGCCTATATTCTTTGTCCCTCTCTGCCAACCCCCTCCCCAGGGTTACCTTCACAGGCAGTGCCGTCTTCGTTCACCCAGTACCCACTTTCGCAGGCTGAGCAGGCGAAGGAGCCCTCGGTGTTGAGGCAGAGGCCCGTGGGGCATGAAGGCCGGCTGGAACATTCGTTGACATCTGAAACAGGCCATTGAGTTCTGTGGGGGACTCTGCAGGATAGACATGTCAGGACAGCAGAGACTGGCAGGTGGGCGGGAATAGGGGAAAGGACAGGTCTTGGCAGTGAGGTGTTGGGTCAACATGGTTAGGGATGCGGGGCCAGGGGTGGACGGGGAATGTGTGTGCCTCAGACTGGTTTGCTGTGGGGGAAGGGCGCTTCAGCGTCTTTGTACCTTGGCAGCCCTTCTCATCTGAGGTGACCTCGTAGCCCTGCTCACAAGTGCACCTGAAGGAACCCTCCAGGTTGATGCACCTTCCATGGGCACAGACCCCGGGGGTCAAACACTCATTCACATCTGTGGGAGAGAAGTCCAAGGTGGTGGGCTGGCCTCCTTTCCTTCAGGCAGCCCCCTTCATCAAGCTTAGAGCATCTCAATTATGAGGCCAAGCAAGAAATCACCATTCAGAGGAGCTATAGGCCACTCTGGGAAAGCCATGGGGTCATTCCTGCTTCTGACTCCACCCACCTATGCAGGGTAGGATGCCCTTCCCCGTTGAGCTCACTTCAGTAACACAGAGCACGCTGCCTCTGTCCTAGAAGAGGGGGCCAGGTCCCCCAGCCTGAGGATACCTGGAGTAAAGTGTCCGAGACCCTTGACTCATCTTTCAGCGGGTCTGAACCTCTCTGTCCCCCTACCTGCCAAACAAACTAGTACGGTCTCATGTTCCCAGCCTGACAACCGGCTTCAATAGGTGAGTGGGCAATGCAGAGAGAGGCCAAGCTATGCCTGGGTAGCTGAGTGGCAGTGTCAAGGGCCTGGGAAATGTCTGCCCTCTCCAGAGCCTCAAAGCATCTATTCACAACTCAGTCCCTCCTGACATTCTGAACCCCTGGCCCTTCTTCCTGCGGGGGCTGAAGGAAAAGAACACTCCTCCTACAGCTGACATGCAGCCCCCTCTGGAGGGAGAAGAGCACCCACTGTTCAGTTCGGCGCTGCTGCTTAGACAGTGTTGTTGAGATGCAGAAGAGCAGAAGACCCCGACTCCCTGGAAACCAGATCAGGGCCTGGCTGCTAGCTCTCAACACCAGAGTCAGCCTCTCCCTAAGATGCTTGTCACTTCACTCTACCCAGCAGGATCCGGCCACAGAAGCTTCTGGGAACTTGGGCTATAGCTTCTGAACAGATATGGCCAAGGAGCCAAAGGGACCCCCACCCTAGCTGATTTTGAGGGCAGAGCACCAGTAACTGAAGCACACCCATCTCATGCCCAAGGTCACCTGGGAACCCAGCCGGATCATGGAGGACAGTAGCCTCCAAGACACTTCCCTCTGCCCGCCTCTTTCTCTCCTTGTATGTGGGCTCAACCGGAGGTCCCAAGGTCAAACATCCCTCTCAGTGCCCTGGCAAGCAGTCCTCACCTACACAGCTCCCGCTCTGGCCTCTGTAACCCTCCTTGCAGGCCAGACAAGTGTAGGATCCGGGGGAGTTGACACATTTCCCATCAGGGCAGGTGCCAGGGTGACGACATTCGTCAATATCTGCAAAATAACATCCCCTCTGTTGGTCATCCCTTGGGAACCACAGCACATGGGTGGGTCTGTGAAGAAGCAAACCCTTGACCCTGCCCTTGGTGGTGGAGAGGGAAGGATTTCAGTTTCTATACAGATGGAAACAAGGAAACAGTGAGTGTTGTCCTGTGTTCCCAACTCCACCTTCCACCCACTGTCCTGGACAAAGATGGAAGAGTAATGGAAGAACTTGAGAAAGGGAGACACCCTGGGTGGGTGTGAGAGGATGTGGTTACCATGAGCTGTGGGAGGGTGAGCGAGCTCTACTTCATGAGCTAGACTGTTGGGGACGGCCTTCATATCTCCCTTGGTGAACTCATGTTCCTTTACAAGTGGTGACAATTACTGGGATTGTACATGCTTGGCATAGCGGGCCCCAGAAAAGATCGCCAGCTGGGCAATGAAGGCAAAATGGGTTTTCCTTGCACCAGAAAATGAGGACTGAGGATGACCCCCAACCTTGGAGGTGGCCAAGACCAGCCCTGAGACGGATGCAGAGCTAGGGGCGGAGGCTGGCAAAGTTTCTCGCTGGAGGGAAGACTCTTCTTCCATCCAAGAACCATGCAGGGCTCCCAGCATCCACTCTGGTGAGATCCAGGAGAGTCAACCAGAAAGGACGAGCCTGAGTACCAACCGGACAAGCAGGGGAAGAGGGGACCCAGGGAGGAAGAGGAACAGCAGTCCTGGGAGAGTGACAATAAGCAGGAGGATGGAGAACTTGTTCCCAGGAACTGCAGGCAGGTTCTTTCCCATGGGACCTGGCATCTCAGGAAGTCCATATCCAAGGCACCCAGGGGACCTGGCTGAGTTAGGGAGGTCATAACATAGGGACTAAACTCTGGGTCGGGGCTGCAGGAGGATGCTATGCTCCTCCGGCCCAGGGTTGAGGCTCCCAGTCACTACTCATGACACACAGATGGACTGAGCTCCAGAGGAAACAGGAGGGTTTATTCTTCCTAAATGGGTAATTGTCATTCTCTTGGAGGAAGCCGACCTACTTATGCAGATCCAGAGGCCCTACTGCCCAAGTGGAAGACTTCCTCAGCCCCATGGAGGAAATGCAGGGGGCAGGGCCAAGGGTCAGAACATAGGCTTGTTGCAAAGGGACTTAAGCCAGCAGCTGTCATTATAGAACAGGACATGGGCCCTGTAATGAAGGATGAAAATGAGTCTCTCCTGAAGTCGTTTGGTCTGCAGTAGACAGGACACATCAAAGTCCTCTGTCCCAGGGACCCGGGGCCTCTCAAGAGGGTCCAGGAGAGGAAGACATTCACAGGGCAGGTGGTTAGTCAGGTGGGTATTTGCAAGGAGATACCCAGAACTCCTAGGTAATCTTGGGGTAAGGCTCATCTGAGATAAGGCTCATCTCTGGAAAGAGGGCAGCCAAGAGCCCCGAGTTGGGTGGTGGTGACACCAAGCTAAACCATTCGAAGAACTTCTGTAAAGACAGAGATGGAGACAACGAGACAGAGATGGAGAGAATGAAAGACCTAGGACCGCCAACTTTGGCCTCCCAGAAGAAAGCAGCCAGCACCACGCCCTGCTGACCTTGGCTGAGGTACCAGAAGCAATGAGCAAATGAGCAATGAATGAATGAGCAAAACCATTGGGAATAATAAGCAATCCTTGCTTCAGGGAGGAGAGACTTCGGGGATGAAGAGGAGAATATGGAGGCGGCAAGGGTCTTCCTCTAAGATCACACTGAGGAAAAAAAAAGAAGTTTTTGAGCCTCTCCTGTGGGAATCAGTTGGTGTAGAAAGGAGCTTAGATTTACCAGGAGGAAAGGGCCCTGAGGTCTGTCCTTCCCCAAATGTTCTGGGCACATCTGTGGAGATGGTGCACGAAATGTCTTATGCTGGGTGTTAGGACACTTGTGGTCCTAATGCTGTTCACTAAATTGTCCAGCTCTCTATTTTCTGGGCCATGGTGGGCTTGTGCCTCCTGGTCCCTTTAGCTGGGTGGGGCCAGGGGACTAGTGCTGGCCAGTGAGCTATAAATAGATATGACGTGTGTGATTTATGAACCAAAGCATTTAGTTGTGTGCAACCCTGCAGAGTGCTCTTTCTTTCTTCCATGGAGACTGGCCACTTTCAAGATGTTGGCTATTCCTTTAGCCAACAAAAGTTTTGCTGTTTTCCTTCCTCAAACCAGAGTCTCAGGCAGAGATGATCACAAGTGAGAGGTTTGTCAGCAAGTGGGAGAAGAAGAGCAGGAGATCAAAGCAGCCCTTAGTCTCCACCTGAGCCAGGGGAGGCTTCTTCTAAATGGGAACCACTAACTAAACCAATCAAAAGGAGCCAGGTAAAGATTCGGATGAAGCCGAGTCCACTCCTAACCACTCTGTGTTAAGGGCTCTGGCTCTAACCTCCCCAGATATCCTGAGGCTGTTCTCCCAACCCCTTGATGTCTGGACTGGAGCCAGAGTTTTCTGCCTAGCCTAGGGTTTGAATTTTAATTTTAAGATCATGGCATGTTTGAGCAGGTTTTACTCTGGGCATCGGGCAGAAGCTCTCATTCTTACTTATTGCTATATTCCTAGCCCGCAGCTGGGATACAGCTGGCGCTCAGCAAAAGTTTGCTGACCAAAGAATGAGACCATGTGATCAAAACATTGCATCCTCCTCATATGACGCTGCTGAAGAAACCCCAGAAGACCCCTGGAAACAGTCACCCCAGGAACCAGCTTGTTGACCTGCTGTCTGTACGAGGATCCTAGAGCTTTTCTACCAGCACTTCCGTCTGTGCGTGAGGAAACATACGGGCGCCTGCCTCTGTTCCTTGTGAGAGCACAGGGTGGGGAGGGTGCTCATTCAGGAGCCAGAAGCTCAGGTAACCTTGGCTATGGGTGGTGGTGGTGGTGGTGGTGGTGGTATGTGTGTGTGTGTGACAGTAAAGCCCTGGCTGTCTGCAGGGGAATCTAACCTCTTTCCATGGGAACCCAGATTCCTGGTATGACGGAAATACCATTGAGACTTTGGATGGGCCGCTATCCAGACCACTCAGGCCTTTCACCAGGGATTTTGAGTTTAGTGGAGAGAGTGGTTTCTTAGTTGGAGAAAGAAAAAAGGGCAAGAGGAAACTGACTGGGCTCCCAGGGTGATGGGCTGGGTCTGTGGTTACTGGCGGAAACCTGGAGGAGAGTGCAGGCTACATCAGTCTTTCTCTCAACAGACCCAGAGTGTCTGCCCAGGGCCAGGAACTCAGCCCGACCTCCCAGCCCAGGTGTGTGTCTGGCAGCTCTCCCCCAGGAGGAAAGGGGACAGTCTGGAGGCGTGGTCTGGGGCATGGGGGTGTCTAGATGAGAAAAAGAATGAAGCCCTCAGATAGTAACACTACCCCCTGTGCACTGAGTGTCTGCATGTGTGTTGTATGTCTTAGCTTCTTTGGTCCTCACAAGAGCCTCTGAGATGGGCATTGTGGTTTCCATTTTCAGACGTTGAAACGAGAGCCAAACCCGGGCCTGTCTCTGCCAGAGCCTGTGCCCTTAACATGGACTGGTTAGGATAAATCTGATCTTTTTAATATCCTGGTATTTTCTTGGTTCATTTCTTTTCATTTTGCTTTTCTTTTTAATGTAGTTTAATGTCAAATTCATAATGTGATGCTTCAGGGAGGTAACCTAGCAGGTATCTAGCACAGTACCTGGCACATAGTAGGCACCCACCAAATGCTAACTCCCTTCACTCTCTATTCTCCTGGAAAATACCAGGCTGTCCGTCTCTATCATGCTCATGAGGACAAGAGGTTCTGGCTCTGATCATGCTTAGGCGTGAGTTTTAAAGGGGGAGCACCAAGAGGGAAGTATTGAGAAGGGAAGGTGAAATGCGGGCTGAGGGTGTGTGCAGACAGAGAGTTGTCTGTCCTACAAGCCCAGCTACCTCTCCCCTTTGCTTCGACCTTCTAGGATTCTGGAAGGACTTTGCTTTTGCAGTAGTGACATTGGGAAGAGGACTTGCCCTTCACAAGACACACAAGCTCATTACTCACCTCCAGGACCCTCTGAATCCAGGCAAATCTTGGCCAGGAAAAGCCTGGAGTCTGGGAGGAGGCTGGCCCTAACCTTGGAGCCAGGACGGGATTTCTCTCCAGGGAGAGCCTTGATTTACCCTCATGTATTCTAGTCTCAGACAGTCTTGGCAACATATAACCCAGGACTTTTGTTAGCATTTGACACCCTAGCCTGGCAGGGAGGTGGTGTTGGCAGAGTTGCCAGGGGGGTGCCACAATAGTGGCAGGCTCAAGCCAGTCTGTGAGGTGACCTGTTTGTTGGCAATGTCACAGCCACCTTTTGGCTTGGGAAAGGGAGCAAGGATCGAGGCTCATTCATTCATTCACTCATTCATTCATTCAGCTAGCATTTGTTGGGGGTGTCCAATGCATAGACAATTATCATGGGTCATCTAAGGATATGGTCCTGTCCTAAGGAGCTCACAGCCTGAAAGCTTCAGCAACAAGGCCAAGGCCAAGGCTCGTCACCTCCCTGATAGACTGATTCCTCCTCTCCGAACAAGGGGAGTGCCATGACTCAAAGTCAGGGGCACAAGTGTACAGAGGGATGTTCCTGGGGTTTCATGTACAGAAAGCTGCTTGTGTTCCCTGCTTCAGGGGACAGATAGGATGCCAAATTATCGCTGAGGGGATGGAAGGGCTCAAGAATTCCTAGACAGGTCTCTGTCCATAGGAGTGGGCTCAGCATCAAGAGGCCCAGTCAGGGGCAAGCTGGAAGGGGAGTTGGGGGCAACCAGTGTGTGGGGAGGGATCAGGAGATGGCAGAGCGGTACTCAGTTCCTTACCTTGGCAGTGTCCCTTCCTGACCATGATGTAGCCCTGGTCACATCTGCAGTGGTACGAGCCCTCTGTGTTGGTGCACCGCCCCCTGTGGCATGCCTCTGGCTGCTCACACTCGTCTATGTCTGTGAACACACAGAAAAGGTCCGAGTTGAGGCCAGCCCTGCAGGGGGTCCTGGGGCATCCCTTTAGAGGCCAAAGTCAAGGACGCCCATGCTGAGGCCCAGGCGGGGAAGGAATCTTTGCTATAGCCATGACTGGCAGGGGCTCCTATGCCAGGTCTGAGACTGACCTAGCTCAGGCCCTTGCAAACTTCTGAGTTCCTTTCTCCCAGGGAGGAGACTTTTGGGGCCCATGGGAACCCTCACAGTTGTCTCCTCATCCTCCAATGCTTGGGCTAGTCTTAAAGTCAGGTTGGCAGTCCATGATCTGAGGAGGCCAACAAAGATTCCCTCCTGGGGCCGGCCGAGTGGCGCGATGGTTAGGAACTCGCTTGGGATGCCAGAGGGCCCCGGTTCGGATCCCACATACGAGGGCCAGTTACACTGCCCTCCACAGCTAAGATGCTGAACAACAGCTCAACCTGGAGCTGGGCTGCCATGGGTCGCCGGCGACGGC